TACCAGTACCTACACCAGCCTTACAGTGTAGGTAGCCTATAGACAAATTTGGGACAGTATAAACCCTAATCCGATGGGCTGTTTCAACATCTAGTTGGGTGCAATTTGTTGCACATCACCTGGCTCTCTTCACTATGAAAGAGTAATGATTAAATAATAAATATTAAATTAAATAAATAATTAAGTAACTCTGGCCTTCTCACTGCTGAGCTCCACAGAGAATGAGGTTAGTCACCTCAGTGTTTCAGCTGCTTGTGTTACCTGAGGCCTCTGGCTCTAAGGGAGGGTCATGTCAATCTGTAAATCAAGACTTACGCTGCCATATAACTCTTATTGCCTGTGTGGTTTGACATAATGGTCACATAACTGCACTCAAGCACACACAGAGAACAAGATGCTGGAATTCCTGCAATAATTGGCCCCTTTACGCTGACTCTAACAAGAATTAATTGTGTTCCCTGGTCTCTTTGTGATATTCACTGACAAGTTTGACATATGTTATTTTAGGCTTGGTAAATGTCTGGCCGATATTACGGCCCTGACACATCAGGCAAACGGTCAGTTTCACAGTGTGTTCCCCACCATTGGCACTTGTCAGCAAAGGTCTGCAGCTTTTCCGGGCCATCTCAGCATGCTGAATTGGAGTTTTTGAAATTGCAGCAGAGGCCATCGGTGAGAGAAATCACTCTGATTGGCTGTTTAGTTTAAGCAAATCAGTGCACCAGAAGAGAAGTGAACAAAGCAGCAAACGACTTCCTCAAGTGTGCGTGCCTAAAAGGACTGTCTGATTTTTCTCATTTTGACAACGCCAGTGCCATTTGCAACTTCTTCAGACATTTTCTCAATTAGCAGTTCTATGAGATAACCCTACATCCATAAGGCTGCTTTTGTTTATATATGCAGTCCTAGGGTTTCTTTTTTGAATGACAAGTGCAGTGCTACCTGCTGGTGTGGATACCCCACCTTTAAGATCTGATCATCAGGCCACATGTTTAGGTAGTCAGAGACACATTCAGCTAATATACTGTATGTGCATCCACATGTGCACTGAAGAACTGTGTAGGCACATTTGTGGTGCGCATATGGCACAACATCTGTACCAGTTTACCTGACATAAGGTATAGTGTCATACTCTTTCTTCCTCTCTCATCCAGCGGTGTAGTGTAGGGTATACGCAGGTATACCTACTATTACAACCCTTCTGATGAGCTTCATTCAGCAAGCGGAATTTGTTTTCCCAGGATGGCAAAGGCATAACATAGTTTTCAAGAGTGGATGGAGTAAGGAAGGCATAATTATGTAGTTGCCTCACCCTTTAGCATGTGGGCCAGTACTGATTGCAAAATCTGCACCTCTTCTGCGGCTAATGATAATTTCATAATGATCCTTAATTCCTGAAGTCAAGCAGCACAAGTTAAGAGACAATGTGCCCATTGGGTGAACTAAATATGCAAGAGTAGTCTTACATGTCACTGTTTATAACAGGGCATTTATCCTTCTGCTGTAGGGGCTGCTTTCAAAATAAACTGGGGCATAAATTAGGGGTACACCCACTTTTCCAGGCACCACTACACCACCGCTCTCATCTCATCTGTTTCCTTTTTTTTGAGTTTTATAGCTTTATCCAATATGCAAATACACACAATAATCCTCTACAGATGAAATCTGTAAACAGGGAAGCGAAATCTAACCAGAACTTGCCTGGGATCGATTTTTTATTCAAGTTGTGAACTACAGCCAGTTTCTGATGGATTATCTACAAACAGGCTGGATATGTGGATACAAGATAGCCAGAGAGAGGAAAATGAGACGACAAGAGAAAAAGACCAGTTAGGATAAAGATGATAATTAGAAAGAAGAGAAAGAGGAATGCAATGAAAGAATCTGTTTGGTTTCTCAAATTCTGAAGTAAGTTACATTTCGGATTAAAACAAATGACTTCACCTCAGTCTTGGCAAACAATTTGACACTTCCCCACAGATCCACAGCGTGTCCTTTATCTGTCTTCATACCCCGGAGGGCTAAGACTGATTATTGGCCTGTACGGCTGCTCTATCACCAAAATGTGTGTTTGTGTTGATTGTCAAGGCTGAGGTAGTGATGTCATTTGTTTTAATCTCATCTACATGTACGAGCAGTTTTAGACCATGAAAGGAAAGATTTAGTCAGTCGCTGCAGCCTCTTTGCGCGGCTCTATGGAGATTGATCATCACCCACTCTTTGAAGCAGCCACAAGTGGTCCGGATTTCGCAAGGAACTGCAGTTTTTACGGTGCTGTCGTGCACTAGCTTCTCTATCTCAGCACGGAGGTGCGTGCCTTGCACCAGCATGCATGCCACGCCATGGTCGTCCATCGCATTCCGCCCTACGACCTTACGAGGTGGCAGTATCGCCGCGGAAAAAAACGTAGGCAACTGTTCTAGCCAGAGGAAATGAAGGTGTAACAACATAACTGTTTGTCTGATTTTACAAGAAAGACCTCCAGCAGAGAAGTCTCAATGGTGGCGATGTGCACGGCCGGTATGTTGACGCTTCCACCTGCTACATTCTGTGCAACGACAGGCAACATAACGACATATTTTCCACAAGATGGGTTGAATATTTCTCTCTTAATAAGACAAAGGAAACAGGCGAGAGGCTATATCTGAGAATAATAGCACATGGACCGTTATCTACGTAGCGTTTTGAAAAGTGCTTCAGGGGAATGAAGCTTTAACTTTCTCTTACCGATGGACAAAAAAAGATAAAGAAACCAATTTTTTTAAGACAGCGCGTAAAAGGTCAAAACAACTTTCTGCCCCTTCTACGATCGTTGCTCGTGACTCTCCCACAATGTTCATTTCAACATGAATTGCCTCGTACCAGTTTCACACAGGCCTGAGATACCTAAGCGCGGGTCGCCTGTCGCGATTCATAGACACAGACTGAGACAGATAGAAAAAGACAACGTATCTACTAGACAGCAAGCACAACACACGCCACCAAGC